ATGAGTACATATTTTGATAGTTAATGTATTTAAATCAATGAAAAATTCAGAACTTTTGACATTAAAAAAATTCTACCATATATGCACAAAATGAAAACTTGCAACAATCAATATTCGTACTTGCATTTTTTCATTAAAAATTAAAAAAAAAACATACACTGGAAGAAGAAAACAAATATTTAATGAAAAATTTAATTGATTATTCTTAAAAATTCAAATTATTTAAATGCTTACTCAATTATCATCTTTCTGCCAATCTGTTACAAATAAGGGAAAAAATCGGGGCTTGTGAGTATTGTTCGTTGTTATTTGGCAGTCTTTTTTATGTATGCTGCTTTTGTTTGCGGTTCTTTTGTAAGAGCTGTTGACAATCACCAGATTAAACAAATGGCTTGCTTGACTTTGACACCTAGCTGTTTACGCTGTACCCCATGCATTCCTAATATGAGCAAACGTATGACGTCGCAGTCGATGCAAAGTGGTCTTGAAACAGCTAATCAATCGCTCGAAATTCACTTTTTGCTTTGTATTTATATACTACAACTATTTAGTTGGCTGTTGAAGTGAGATGTAGTATTTCCTTCCTGCATTCTTACGATTTCATTGTTTTATATCCTAATAATAATAGGTGTGACTGTGATTTTAGGTTTTTAATTTACTTATCTGTAGGTTATTTTATTTTTCATTTTACATAATTTTTTTATTATTATTTAGTTATTTTTTTACTTTCTGTATATATGGTGTGAATGTGTTCATATATCACTATAATTATTGTCCAAGAGGCAGATTATTATATGTCTAAATAAATAAAAAGATATATAATAATAATAAATTGGATAAATGTGTGTATTAGTATTCTATCACCTATAAATTTTTATTAAGCACTAATAATATTAAAAAACAACAACATTATATTCGTTAAAGAAAAGATAAATATTAAACGAAGGTTAATATAAACATTTATAATGTGAACATTGCGGAAAAAATATATTTTTTATACTTTCTAGTAAATTATTATTTTCTGAGTGCTTTGTTGTAATATTCCCACAAATATATTAATCCTACATAAAAAAAATAAGTAATTACAATACTTGTTTATGAAAGATTTTAATGTCCGGTATAATTCTTATCTTTGTGAATGTTTTCGTGAAATACAATGATGAAACATTTAGGAGAGAACGAATCGTTAATTTTTATTCTGAGAAATTCCTGTTCAGGTTAAAAATACAGCGATTTTCTTCCTCGATTCCTGGAAAACTTCATTAAAAAGATAATTCGACAGAAAAAGTATATATCTGATCGATTTTGTTGGGTATAGATGCAAAACCTATTAAATTAATGACAAGGCTGGTAAATACATATGCGATTATATAATTTATATAATGTCATTTATAGAGACTGTGAATTGTAGTGTCGTGTTTCTAAATTGAAATGAATAAACGAAATGTAGGACAAGTAGCGAAATGACCGTTATCTTAGAGTTGTGAATAAAAAGAAATCATAAAATTATTTATCTTGTTATTGATTCCCCTTAAAAATATTAACGCTATTTGAGTATAGTCCATAAATTAAACATTTTCTGTCATTTTTGAACAGATCATTAAATAGTATATAAAATAGTACAAGCAGTTCTAAGCAGAAGGATAAACTTCAAGGGTTCGTTTTAAACGTTCATAGGATGATAGCGAGGAGTCTGATTATTTTTTTTTTATGGAGGCATTAATGGTATCTATTGTTGCTATTCATTTAATTATTTTTTTATATTAGTTTGAACACTTAAGTGATGTATCTTTTAAAACAAGTGATCTATACTTTTTAAAATTATTTTTTAAACAGTGTTCACTCACAATTTAAATTTAGTCAAAAATATGAATTATCCGTTGTTTTTTTTTAAATAAAATATATGAAACATTTGATTTCTAACATCTTCACTACCACTCCTAAAGATAAGAATCATATCTTAACTATAGAATCAAGCAAAATCGGTCATGAGGACATTCACGATATAATTATGATTAAAATAACTGTAATTTTTAGAAAAAATCGACGTAATAAATTATATATAATTTTAGTAATATCAACGAAATTATCTTACGGCCAATGGAGTATAAATACGATTTTGTTTAACAATGATTTAAAACAAAATTTGAAGAAGGTACGTGATTGGTAATTAAATTTATGTAAACTGAAATATTCTAAATTAATTACATTATGTACCGAATTACGACAAACTAGAATTTTTCATCAGCCTGAATCGATTCAAGGTTCGAAAGATCCTCCTGTAGCACATTCACCCAACCTATTTTAAGAAGGTACTCTTAATTGATTAATTAATTAAGGTGGAAACCTGGGTGTTGAGCGTGATCTAGACCCGATCAGGTACTAAAATTCGTAAATATCCCTTTGCTTTCTACTTGGATTGCAAAATAATTTGATCACGAAATCTATAAAAAAGGGGCTTAAAAAATATTGGGCCATTTGTCTTATATATTCTCGTTATTTTGACAATTGGGGGTGTAGATCACGCCAAACGGTTCGATATTTTTGAAGGGCCAACTTTTTTCTCCCTTTTGCTCGCTGAAATTACGTTATGATTCAGGTGGAAAGAATATGGATTTTTACGAGGTTTTAGTACCTGATAAAATATAAATTGTTTGCTCCCCTCCAGATTGAAAACGAACCAATTCCGAAAATTTTTGTAAATATAATATTTGTAGGTTACGATGAAATGAACTTATTTACGAAGTTTCAAACGGATGTTAATAATTTTATAAAAAGGGGTCTGTACCATGGACTATAAAATGAATAATTAAATGTCACCAAAAAAATAAATAAATAAGACTTCAAAATTAATTATCGCTGTTCGAGTTATCAATTATGGTTACCCAGGAAATTATTTATTGCATTAATTTGAACACTATATGGTGTATCATTAAAAACAAATTGAACCTAAACTTTATTTAATTTTTTTTTTTAATGGTGGTCAACACAATTTTTATTTTATTTATTATTTTACTCGAAAAAATATATATTTTTAATAGAAATATCATCATCAAAATAAAAACCGTCTTTAAGTGTACTTGATTAAATTTAGCTGTTGGTTTTAAATTAAAAATGCCAGATCTAATCTGATTGGATGACGTGGAATCCTGAGAGTTGCTATTGGTCGGGAGCGGGAGTGGCGACACTCCATTGGTCCGGCACACATCAGAGAACTCCCCCTTGATAACTCCTTAATCAAGAGTCCTCTATAATCCTCCGGCTCAGCTCTCCAGGGGGCAATTTTTCAGCCTCCACTTAAGTTCTCAGCGCCCCCTCCTCTTCTTTTTTTTTAATTGAAACGGATCTAGCTGGCTGACGTTGGAAGTTCTTATTAACAATAAAAAATTTTGATATCTCTCCGAAAGAATGTATTAAATATGATAGATAAATTTTAGTTCATTGAAGGATCTGCTATAGTTGTCTGAAAAATGCACTTTACGTTTTTTAATATAAAGGGCGAGTCGGTAGGAACGGTCAATAAAACAAATCATTTGTTCTTATCTGATTTGCATTATAATGTAAAAACAAATCATAATGATAAAAACAAAAAAAACAAAAAAAAACCTGTACCACTACAACCCATGAAGGGTCTTGGGTTCAGCGCTATTTATGGAAAGCACTGTTTCTAGGTCAACGGTTGTGCAAGGAGATGATTTCACCGAGATCACGCTCAACCACCAGGTTTTCTCCTTAATTAATTATTTAATTAAGTTTATCCACTCTATATAGGCTGGGTGTGCCCCAGAAGGGTTCTCCCTACTTAGAGTCGTTCCACGGCCAATGAAACAGATAAATAAATTTTCTGCCATGTGTCGGGGTTCGAATCTGGGACCTTTATCATTGGAAGCTCAGTGCCCTACCACTGAGCTACTTCACTCCCTCATAATGCTAATTTTGTATGAATGCATGAAATGGGGCTGAGGTGGACGAACGAGAACCAAATACGTTATAAACGGAAGTTTAGAAGATGTAAAATAATTACGAGCTCACAAACTGGTGACGAAGGGCCTTTAACTCTTGCATTAATCATCCGCCCTTTCCTCTAGCCCGGGAAAATCCTCGTATAGCCTAAAAGGCGAGGAACGGTTGAACTGTGAAATTTTGTTTATTTGAATCAATACTGTGAAGTCTGGAGATCTTGAAGACCAATTAATTTGAGCACTTAGAACAAACTGACAATCTGGAAATCTTTCATTCAAATTTTGCCTCATCTGACAAGCGAAACGAACAGAAGCTTCGTCATACTGGAAGTGCTTTTCTCTAAAAACAAAGGGCCAATTAAATAGCCGTCGACAATACCAAACCACACTATACTTGTGCCGATTGTAAATTGTTTACAATATGTTGCAAACAAAATCATAATGCTGATATATGCACGAAATACTGTTAATTTTTGAAATTTTGTTATTTGTAATTAGTTTTTCATATTTAAACATTTTTTTTTTTTTTTTGTTCTTCCCTACCTCGCCTTTTAGGCTATACGGGATTTTCCCGGGCCGGGGGGTGAGGGCGGGGAAATTTAAAATCCCCTCCGGCACCGGGACGCGAACTCGTACTTTTTATATCATCTCAAATCTCTGTTATCCGGTTGCCAGGCAACTAGCGGTGCTGTTACACACGCTTTAGCCTATTCGGCCACCCCGCCCCCATTTCATATTTAAACAAATGAAAATCGGATAAGAACATATAATGTTTTTTATTCTTATTATTTTTTTGCGCAATTCATTCCTGGAGTTTCTCCCAAATAACCCTCTTTGTATAATTTTGATCTATTACACACTACAAATTTTTATTATTTTGCCGTGAACCAGTAATTATTAATAAATTTAATAAATCTATTCCGATGTTATTTTAAAACTAATGGACAGGTTAGGATGGATTGGATAGCTTCAACCAAGCCAAATCTGTGATCCAGCGATTCTTACTTGCTTCCTGTGTTGACAAATTAATATAAAACACTAGATTAACCTCCGATTTATTTATTAAAAATAAATTATAATATAAGTCAAAATATGTTAATAATGAAAAATACAAATAAATATGGTTAATAAATATTAGTTACAAAATATATATGTATAAACATTTTTTAAACAAGTTATAAACATTTATAAAGTATTATTATGATGAATTGATGTTAGTGATAATGGTGACCATGATGCCCATGCTCGTACCCATGATGTCCGCCGTGGTAATGCTCGTATCCATGATGGTGCTCGTATGGTTTGTAGTAAGACTTCGCCACATAGTATCCGTGGTGTGCCATAGCAATGGCGATCAGTCCCAACAAGAGGATAACCTGAGTTAAAAAACATACAAACAATTACTTTTAAAGTTTTTTAGTTTGTCTATAATAATGTCTTAGAATTATACTGGACTAGAGGATCCTGTCTCGAAGACACCTCTTAATAACTGGAGAAGAAAAATAAACTTATTAGTGTTCAAACCAAGCTACACATATAAAAATATACAAACAAAATTGATTTTTTCTTAAAAGTTGTAGTCCGGAAGTCCGTTGCAAAAAAGGAGTCATATTTCATACTAAGGTTTGTCCTCATAAATTCACCATATCCACAGGCCTAATGAGAGAAATCCAAGTCTGCCGTTAGATAGACGCTGGAATACAAAATGGCGGTCAGGTGAAGATAGAGACCCTATATAGGTAGTAAACCTATATATAGATAGTGCTTAAAGATATAGAACGCTACCAATCCTTTCAATTTATATTATTTACAGTATTAAGACATGAAATAAAAGTTAATTAATTACCCCATGTCCGTGGATCACAATTAGAAAAATTGAATTTATGATTAAAAAAAATTATTTTTTTTTCGGTTTATCGCTAATATCATTAAAATTATGCGTTCTATCTATAATAATCTCAGGTATGAAATTAAAGCTGATACCATTTTCAATAGAAATAGTTATGTTAGTTTTTTCGCTATATTCTATAGTTTCCGTGATATCCATCCTTGTAATTCACTAACTTCGAAAAAAATCATTATTGGACTCGCAAATTCTTCATCTTTTCATTTTACGAAAAAGTTATGAGGAGAAATGTTGTTTAATATTAAATTTTATTATGAATATATGTTACTTCACTATCTTATCTTCAACTATTCAAAAGCTAGAGCAATTATAAATTAATGAGTTAACTCCGAAACTCATTGTACTCTGAACTTTGTAGCTATGTATTGATATTTTGTATCAAAAAAATTCTTTTTATATTATCCGAAGTGCTCAAGACATCACAGATATATTACCCCCATTTACCTTTACAATATTTTTTTTCGTCGAAGACTATCATATTTTAATTTTGCAAAATAAACATGTGATAAATATCATATTACTACAACCTTAGCACTTCTGAGGTTTTCAGAAAGAATTACTGTTTTTTTTTTCTAGATTAAGAAACTATATTTGTTCTTGATGTTCGCTACAAAATCTTTAAAACACAATTTAATCAATCTCAATCCGTCGACTTTGGAACCATCCGAGTTGTGAAACCTCTCAATTTTTTCATTGACATATTAATGTAGTTGTCAGGTTTTACATTTTGAAATTTGGATTCGTCATTCCTTTGTAAAATTTTCTTTCGGTTTAACACCTCATTCATTAAAATCTATCGCTCCTTTAAAATCGCTCTTTACCCTGGCCTGAGAAAAACCCGTATAGGCTCTGTACATTATTGTTTTGTAATATTTTACTAATCTACCGTGTGTTTAATAAAGTAGTTAATTATTAATTACATTATTTTTAGAATTAATGACTGTTGTATATATTTTTTCTGCAACGTTAAATAATTAAATTTAAAAAAAATAAATACAGTAATTTCTGAGCATGGCTATAACTGTCTAATTAGCTTTAAATCGCCTAATTAGACTATACTTTCACTGAAAATTCACAGAACATAGGTAGTTATGGTATTTACAGATTTTTTTATAAATGACATCTCATACAGTAGCCTAGTTTTATTTTGTTTTTTGTGGTTACTATAAATTGTTGGTACTTTTAAATAATGATTAATCAAATCCTACTACTCTCTCTCTGTCTCTTAAAACTTTATAATTTAAGTTTACCAATATTTGTAATAATCATAGAACTTAAGGACTTACAAAGAGTGTCTTCATCATTTCGGATGGCTGTTACTATGAACACTTCACGACTAACGCTTGAGGTACTTTGGTCTTTTTCTGAAACTGCTCCTTTATATATTGACGGGAAGGAATTTCGACATCTCTATTGGAAGAGGGGATTTTTGATTTTACAAAAAAGTTCCATATTGAGAGAAACTTATTCCGTCCAAGGCAACCGTCCCTTGGAGGGAGACGAGGTCATTGATAAGACAAGTAGGTTCTTCATAGTCTGAAGTCCTTGAAGACCCCCGAGAGTGTTTCGCAGAAGACATTGCCGTAGGTCAATGCTGATGGCAGGATAATGCTTGCAAAGCTTTTTGTACCAGTCAGCTGTCAAAGGAATAGGAGTTTCAACTGTCAATGCACGGCCTTAACGTTTCCTAATTTTTTATGGAGTCGTCATCACATGTATATTTCCTGCTGTATAAGGATATTTAGGAAGGCCACTTTTCTGCATATAATATGCTCTTAAAAATATATTTATTTAATATCATTAAAATCTACTAATATTAATTAAAAATGAATTATATCATAATAATCCAATAGTAGTTCAATTTCTGAACTAGAAATCCAGTGCTTCTATAAACTCTGTCGAGCCTCTTAAACTCAAATTGTTAAACTTCGCTTGTTTCAGTTTAACTATAATGTAAATTATTTCCAATAAAAAAATTAATAACACTATTATAAATTAATAAGCTAATTACCAAGCACTAATTAAACATCTTTTATCTGCTTTGGACGGGATTTTACGCTTGTTTTTCTATTTCAGAGCCTGTCTTATTGATTCTAAATAGAAAACAAAAAAGTAGTAAATATTTTATAAACATTTGCCACTTTTATAAACACTTGTAGTTACTCCCAAGAAATATTAATGTACGAGAAACATTGATACCTTTGTTGTCAGATAAAGAGAAAAAACTAAAATTCAGTTCAGTACCCTAAATGCCGTATACTGATTTATCGTTTATATATACCCAATTTCCAGAAATATTTGATACCATATTATATATAACTCTGGAGCCGATTGAAACACAGTAACCAAATTTGTGCCATATGTCCTTATTATAAAGTATAAAATTTTTCAAATCTCACTTAGTCCCTTTTGTCATTTTCATATCCAAAACTCACCGAAAATGACTTCTGGCCGTTTTTGTAAATTTATATCTAGAAAATGACATGGTTTCCAAGTAGTACAAGTAGTGGAGTGATAGGACTGCATATGACAAAGAATGAAAGCTGAGACTCCTTTTGATGTTACACTTTTGCATTGCTAAACGTCTTGTTTTATGCTATATTGGCTAATTTATTTTATAATTGTCAATTTTTTCAACATTCCTCAAGCACTTAGAGAATAAATTGTGAAGACAAACAATTTAGAACCAAACATCAGCATAGTTTTAATTTTTGTTTTGTTATGATATTCGACAAAATGCCTGAGTTAGAGTAGGTAGGTATAGGACTCCCAGCCACATATTACAGGTTTGTTCTTTTTACATATCAAATCTAAATAGTCTGGAACTCACACTTCCAATATCAAACATTTTAAGTGATTACGAAGACACTATATTCTCTGTTTCCCATTTTTATGCAGGGTTGAAGTGGCTTTATCCTTCCTACCGTCGTAAATATTTCCTGGCATCCTTCCTCTTTCAAGTCATCCAATCCCACCGTTCTTCAAACAGCTCCTTCAATTCAAATCCTCCGTTCGTTCCCGTAATAATCGTTCCCGGTCTTCTGATTTATACATAAGGGCCCACCGAACCGCTGCTTTCGACAGATCTTTCATTATCCGATCCTCATCCCTTTGGAACTCCATTCCTTCTCACATTCGACAATCTAATACCCTTCCTACCTTTAAATCCCGTCTGTTCAATCATTTCTTATCAATCCAGTCCCAATGAAATTGTAAATAGATACTAATGTAAATATGTATATAAATTATTAGCTCGTTCTTCATTATTTTTACTTCATCCTTTTTATTTATTTTTTTTAAATTTTAATTATTAACTGATTAAAATTAGAAAGTAACTTATAATTTTTAGTTTTATTACTATGACTGTTTAATTACTCTGTATCTTTATTTATGTATCTCTGAGGCTCCTTAGCCCATATTTATGTCTTTCTGTATTATTCTAAAGGGACTCGTCCCAGAATAAATAAATTATTCTATATAAATAATAGTATTATTTATTTATTTATAAATAATTCTATATGAATAATAGTATTATTATTATTATTATTATTATAAAGTCAGTGTTAGATTTCTTAAAATCAAACAATTTGTTAAATAAAATTTAAAACTGTTTAAAAATTGAATCCAAAGATGAAAAAGATTAATTTGCAGGCGTTGATGACCCGGTTGCTTTACGCCTTGAAACCCCAACAAACAAACAATCTAAACATGTTTTCGATCAAAAAACAAATTTTTTTTATCTATAGCTTCGAACTCTAAAATAAATTTGGAATAACTGGTAAAAAGATTATAAAAATACGAAAAATCCAGCAACATGGCCTGCGTGATTTCAAACGGATTGACACGTAACCAGTCGTTTGTAGTTAGATATTTTTTTTATAATTTTAATTTATTAATTTATTTACAAAAAAAAAGTGTACCCACTATGGAAAATATGTTTAATATTTTAAAATTATATAATTAAATTCGCTCATATTTTATGATTTGTTGGTTAAATTTTATCTGCATTTGGCTAATTGTTTTATTTTTATTTTTTAGGAGATGTTGCTGAGAACGTCAAAAAGGGTGAGTCCAAACACTTAAATATTATATGAAAGTTTACTGGCTCGAAATAAGTTTGTAAATATTTACAACCTTGACGGCTCTTCTTACCACAAGCTTTTCTTCTTTTTTTACGTTTCAATTTAAATAACTATTAAAATTTTAAGTTGAATTCCATTTTTCCTTTAGGTTTACTTTGTTTTTTTAGTTTTTTTTTACAAATCATATTTAAAAAATATATCCATAATTTCTATAATACTTATAAGAGTGCCAAGAGCTCTGTATCTTTGTGATAAAATACTTTTGTCCTTGTTAAAGGATACTTTATTACAATGTCAGGACAAATTATTTTTACTTAATATTATTTTTAGGAATAAAATAATTATGTTTAGTTAAAACCACCAGCTTAAACAAATATCATAAAAAAAAAAAAATTATTATAGAATAACAATTCAAGAAACGTTGTTAGCTATTGAAATTACAAAAATTGACTACACAAACAACTTAATAAAAGAGTACTAAAAATTATTGAATTCGCTTTTTTGTTAGGTTGTAAATTAAATTAGAAAACGTCCTAATACTCACATAAAACACCAGAAAAAAAAGTTTTAATATAAAACAACAACAAAAAAAAAAAAACAATCAATTGTAAATAATAAAATATATATAATACAAAATTGTGAGCGTACTCACATGGTAATCGTTACCATAACAGATTCATCGTCATCAACATCATCTGATGTCCCTTTATTGCAGAACATAGTCCTACTTCTCCATAACGAAGAGAATTTTCTTTGGCTGCCCGACTATACCTAGATTCTTAAGATCTTTAACAGGTTCATACCTGAAGAAGCTAATTCACTCCACAAAAACTGTGAAATTATTACTTGGAAACTACAAGCGTAAATATTTATTAAAATTACAAAGTTATTGCCGATTTTACTGTCACCTGACAACATCTGCAAGAAATGATACTGAAAAATTTAATTGGTTGTTATACTAAGGGTTATTTCGTATATTTAATTTATTTTTAGTTTTTTTTTTTTTTTTGATTTTAGGGGGCTAGTAAACACCATACTCGCGAAGATTTTTTTATTATCTAAGTCATTTATTTCCAACTTGAACCCTAATCATAATTAACATTTTTTTCAGGAACAACGAAAAAACAATATATTCTTTTCCAATTGTAATACCAAAACCAATATTCTTTTAAAAAATAAATTAAGAATTATTTATTCACGGAACATATTTCCGAAAATCACTGATTAATCCAGTAATAATTAAAAAAAAACATTGAAACCCGATAGGATGCCTTTGGAAAGAAACCAATTACAAGGATTTTTTTTTTAAACCAAAAAAAAGGTTGATAGGGGTTTGTTTCGGAGAAAAAAACGACATTTGATTCGGAAGGAAAATGGTTATAAAAAAGGCACTACAAAAAATTATCTTTTTGTTTACAATACGGGTGAAATAAAATAAATTTATTTTAAATTTTCCTTTAAATACGACTATTAAGAATGCTTAAGAAATACTCGTTTCATTACATTCCCTGAATAAAAGGTCAGTTTCGGAAATATATTTTCACACTAATTTTTTTAAATATTTAGATTCGTTTTAAAAAATAATATAATCCCAGCAATGAATTTTTTGAGTGTTTTTTCATTGCAGTAGATACTTATCTCAATTTCCATGATAATCGATAGGGTTCACATTGAAAATAAACGACTCATCTACATTATCGTTTTATTTTATTATGTTTTTGCATACATTGTTTGCTGTTATTTGTTCTTTATATTTCGTTTAGTTTTTTATTGAAAAGAATTTGATTAAATAAATATACTTTTGTATATTTATTTGAGGTACTTATTTCAATCAGTGCAGTTCAATCAATAAATCATTTATTTTCCAATTTATTTATTTTAAGCCAATTTTTAATTTGGTCAATTTAATGACTACAAGATCTTAATTACGACGTTTTGGCTCGACGAGCCATTTTCAAGTCCATCATGTACCTACCTGTCCATTTCACTTATGCGAATTACATGTGTCTACTCACAATAAAAGGTTTCACTCTTGTCATGTCCACCTTTCACTTATCATGTGTCACCCATTAGTTCCGTTTATATTCAGTGACTGAATAGAAACGAAACCGACAACATGTGGGTGACACATGATAAGTTAAAGGTTGGCATGACAAGAGTAAAACATTTTATTATGAGGACAGGTTCATGATGGACTTGAAAATGGCTCGAAGAGCCGAAACGTCGTAATTAAGATCTTGTAGTCATTAAATTGACCAAATAAAAAATTGATGTAAAATTGGCTTAAAATAAATAAATTGGAAAATAAATATTGAGAGTAAATCATTTATGTTCCTTATAAAATGACAACCAATTTATAAATCACTTTCATTTTCTTTATATATATATATGTATATATATATATATATATATATATATATATATATATATATATATGTATATATATATATATATATAGAGAGAGAGAGAGAGAGAGAAAAACAAAGTATACATATGT